ATGACGATTATGATGATGATGAATATGCTGAGGTTGATAATGATGTTGACGATGACGCTGATGATGCTGCTGATGATGATGGTGACTGTGATGATGATGATGATGATGATGATGATGATGATGATGATGATGATGATTATGCTGATGATGATGATGATGATGATGATGATGATGATGATTATGATGATGATGATGATGATGATGATGATGATGATGATGATGATGAAATGATGATGATGATGATGATGATGATGATGATGAAATGATGATGATGATGATGATGATGATGATGATGATGCTGATGATGATGATGATGGATGATGATGATGAATGATTATGATGGCTCGATGATGATGATGATGAATACGATTGATACGATGATGATTGAAATGCTGCTGCTGCTGCTGATGATGATGATGATGAATGAATATGATGATGAGGAGGAGGAGGAGGAGGAGAGGAGAGGAGGAGGAGAGGAGGAGGAGGAGGAGGACGAGGAGGAGGAGGAGGAGGAGGAGGAGGCGGAGGAGGAGGCGGGAGGAGGAGAGTGATGACAGCGGGGAGGGGGGGGGGCGCAGGGGCTGTCGCACCCTCACAGCCGCTGCCCTTCCTTGCCGCGAGGTTGCAGACCACCAGCTAGCCGTGCCGTTCCGCTTTATGCAGGACTCCCGTGTGCCCCAAGGCACCAGACTCACCAGATATCTCTCATTCCCCCGCTTCCTCCGCTCACTCCGCCCTCCTCCGGGTCTCCCTCTTCAGTCCATGCACTCCCCTTTGCCTTGCCTCCCCCGTCCCTGCTTGCCTCCCTCCCTGCTCCTTGCACCCCTCTTGCCTCCATGCCTCCCTGGATGACACCTCGTGGCCTCCTGGAGCCTCCCTGGGGCCCCCCTCTGGGGCCTCTTGGGGCCCCTCTGGAGCCTCGCAGGGCCCACCTGGGGCCCTCCTGTGTCCCTCCTGGGGCTTTCCTGGGCTCTCCCCGGGCTCTCCTAGGCCCGCCCCGCCCCCCTGGCGCATCCAGGGGCCCCGCTCTTTCTTGGGCTTAACAGTTTCAACGCCATTTCGTGTGGTGCTGTGCGGGAGGCATTGTGAAACACGGCATTTTACTTTAAACGGAGAAGGTTAAAGGCGAGGTATAAATCGAGCATGTACCGCTGCCGTGCCTGGCTCAAGCCGGGCCCGGCCAAAAATATATGACTGTGCCTCACCGAGGCGCACGACTGGTATCTGAGATTGGAAAATACCTTTTCCATTGACGATGCCCATCCTATCCTTTACTCCAGATCCCATGCTTCGTCTTGCTCCCTTGCTCATGCGATATGAGCCAAAGCCTGGGATATGGCAACGCTTAAAGCGTAACACATACCTAAGCTTACCAGCTTGTTTTCGACTTGGTAGCGGAGCTGGCTACACTCTCGTGTGGCTGGCTCTCGCTCTGATTCCTGTAATCCACGGCACAACTTGGTGGACTACTACTACGGTGGAATACCATGTTGCGTCGGCTCTGCGAGGAGCGGAGCCAGTCCGCGATCGAGCTAGCGGGGCAACCCGCGAACTCGAGACGCTCTCTCCTACTTCACTGCGCCACTTCACTCTCGACTTCCACCAGATGCCAATCGGCAACTCGATCGAGAACGTGGTCACCCTGCGGGGCTACCCGCAGCGGGGCCACCTGCATCCCGTGCCAGTCAGGCGCCTCACGGCTACTACGCCAGAGCCTGACAAACCACAGCCTAAACCAATCACCGAAGCCGAAATGCACATGCACTGGATTAAGATAACTATCTTCGGCATTCTGTGGGTAATAATGGGATGTGCTGTGGGATACATGCGGCAGGGGATGGACGACACGCGTGCTACTGGCCCTTCATGGGACCCTGCCGGTACTACGCCTTTTCGCGAATACGTTCGCGAAGTACATGCATGGATAAACGTAACGAGCGGCAATATGACGCCACCACAACAAGCTGCAGCACTACAACGAGGCCTTCAAGGTCTTGCTCGTCGTATCGCCATGCAGGTCCCCTCCCAGATCATCAACTATGGTGTAACTGTCAATGGACAGCCAACGGATGCAGTCACATATATACTGTACCTACTGAGCACCAAATTTGAAAATCTGGAAGATGAGCGCCAGCTCAACTCTGGCACTGCCCTTATCGACTTCCGCGTCGAAAGGGGCGAGCGAATCGACTCAGTATTAGCTCGATTCGAGATGGCCCGTGACGAGGCTAACTCTGTTGGCTTTGTCATCCCCAACTTTCAGATCCTAACGCTGATTCTCTTCAGAGCGTTAGGCGTTGGCGCGTCACGAGCCCAACACCTGCTGGAGCCCTTTAATCATCAGATGCCCAGAACACAAGCAGACTATGACAGGCTGCTGACCAGGATGAGGAACTACGGACATGTTGCCGAGCGCTCTCCTGGCAACATTGCGGGTATCTTCACAGGGCACCACTCACATGCAGGTGTCTACGCCACGACTGCGGGGTCACCCGCTGGTCCTGGCGAGCCAAGTCCCTGGGCTGACCCAGCCGATATGCCCAACGAGGCCACTGCCTTCTTAGGGCAGACCGGCCAGGCATCGGCAGAGGCAGCTGAGGCGAACGCCTGGTCGAACTACTCGCCAGGCGCCGCCTACACTGCAAGCCCGCCCTCGGGCACAACCCTCTGGGGCCAAGCGGAGTCATCCGCTCAAGGGTCTCAGCCACCCTCACCGTTTGAATCTGGCACTGACACAGACACCTCATCTGACGATGAGCACAATGGCATAGTCTCTGCTGGTAATGACTATCCAGCGGATGACACTCACCTTTCTGAACAACAAAGAGCGGAAGCCGCTTTTATGGCCTATCGCAAATCAAAACGCCGTTGGAGGCGCTTTATGAAGAAACCAGTCAGAAAAGTGAGACGTGCAGTACGCCGACATTTCAAACGATATGGAAAGGGTCGTGGCAAAGGGGGTCGCAGACGCCGTATGCATGGTAGGGGTATTACTGCTTTCCTCACGTCCTTAACTGATATAGTCTTTGAGGAAGTTCTTATCGGAGGCAAGGGTCGAGGTCACAGGCGGACCTCCGGTAAGGGAAAAGGGCGGAGGGGCAACCCTAGGGACGCTTCTGGCAATACTATGAAGTGTCATACATGCGGCAGCACAGAGCACTTGCGCGATCAATGCCCGAAAGGGAAAGGAAAGGGATCCGTACATTTGGCTCAAAATTCTTTTATGGATGACATAGACTACATTGACTACGAGTTTTACGTCAATCCAGAAGCGGCTCCCGCCGCGGGCTCCTCCACGTACTACGTGATGGCCCGCTACGCTGAAGTGACCGTAGCCCTGGAAGACTACGCAGTGACCCTCTTCGACGAGTTCCACGGCTGGGACGAAGTCGACGAGGTCGCGTTCAATGCTTGGTTCGGTCTTCCAGCGGGGCCACCCGCCGACGACGAGATCTCCGAAGCTGAGACCGTCCCGGCGACCGAGGAAGAGC